ATTAATACTTAATTAATTACTTTTTATTTACGTTTTATTCAACATTCTCTTAAATAAAGAATCTAACTTTTTCTATTTCTTTTTCTATTTCTTCAAAAATAATAAAGTATGTTATTAAAAACAATTTTTCTTAAATTGAAGTATTGTATAGTTTTGTTTTGAAATAAAACTATAGTTTTTTAATATAGTAAAAAAGAATAATAAAATAAACTAAACATTGATAATTTGCCCTTTCATTTCTCTTTAATCATCAAATACACGATAATGGCTAAGGTTATTCCAGTTGGGTATAAAAATTATTTAAAACGAGTCTCAAGTAATGTCCAAAAAAATATTTTTGCTTTGAAACAAATACAACAAAAAATGGACATGGAAGAAATGAAAACAATAGAAACCCGTTTTCAACAAACTCAAAAATTATTAGCTCTTGAGAAACCAATCACAGATAAGATTGTCTCTCTTATTAACGGAACTACTCAGGCTGATAAAACAGTTGACTGTTCATCAATTAAAGTACGTCCAAATCCATCAAAACACTTTAAAGGAATTCCTGCTTTTTGGCATAGAATTTTTATTATTGAAAACCTTTCTGATGAATCAGATATGAAATGTGATAAAGAAATTTTAAGAACTTTAAAGGATATTCAATTAAATAATAATTTGAAAGCCGACACTGAAAAAGGAATTGTTCTTCACCAAAGAACAATACAATTTGATTTTGATGAAAACCAATACATGAAACCACAAAGTGTTTCTGTTCAATTAAGCTTTAACAGTAAAATTGGTTCTAACTCTCACGATAGTGCTGAAGTTAAAATTATACAACCATTTGTTTGGAAAGGAGTTAATCCTTATGAAAAAATGGATGTAAATGATTTTACTTTTTTCCTTCCTTTCTTCCTCAAAGATGATATTAAAGAGTATATGTTGTGGTTTAATCGTATTTATGACATCAAAAGTTTTATGGGATCTTCTTTGTTAACATTTAAAGAAAGGTTGCATGATTTAGATGCTAACGATAATGTATCAATGGACGAAGATAGTTATTATGACGAAGAAGAAGAAGATGACGAACCACGGAAAAGAACAAAAGATAGCTCACAAGACTGTCAGCCTAAAAGAAAAGCAACTGACCAAGAATGCAAACACCAATAATTCATTCTTCTTTATTTTATGTACTTCTAATAGAGTCATTATTTTTAATTTGTGTTTGAGTACCTTTAAAAAATAATTTGTTTTCTTTAATGTATTGAAAAAGAAAAAATACTTGTCTTTAAAATTAGGTAAAAGTTGTTTGTGGTGTATTCTTTGAATGTCCAATTATCTTATTAAACCCTTTAAATTTATTTCTACATAATATATGAACGTTATTTAATTGCTTAGTTAATATCAAAAAAACTATCCTACTGTATGACAAGAAAGAATCATTCCTATTCTTTGTGATTTTTTATTATAGTACTAACAGCGCTTATAATGTTATGTTTATTAATGGAGTATTTTACATCTTCTTTTGGTATTTGCTTTAAAAATATGAGATTATTCGTTATTTATACCAATAAAGTATATCACATAAACCACTTATCCAGAATGAAATTTGTTATATTAATTAAAAAAGCTGTTCATTTCTTTTTGACAAACATTAATTCATTAGCTTACATTCCTTAATTACTTAGTAAAAAGAACAGTCAATAAGATATTATAAAAAAGTAAAGAGTCAAATAAAATATAATACAAGATTAACTATCAACAAAAATAAATAATAAATGAAAGACTAAGTAAAAATTAGTTGATTAAATGTTAATAGATTTTTCATCTATTCTTCCTTGCTCAGTGGAGACTAATCACATCCCTTCTCTTATTAAAGAGGAATAAACTTTTTATTTAAAATATATCATTTATGTTTTTGCAGGAGTATGGGAAAAGCACTTCTTTGTTTTATTTCTTCTTATAAGAATATTCTCAATTTTCTTTCTGTTTATTTCTTCTTTAGTTTGGTTTATGACTTAATTTTAATAAAGTTCATTTTCATTTATTTTATGAATGGGGGAAGAAGGCATTTCATTACCACTATATTATTATGACTAATTTCCTTTTTGGTCTTAACCACATCTTATCAAATCCTTTTCCTTTGATAATACCTTCATATATATCTTAATTTCTTTATTAATAAATACCAATCTTTATATTATAACCATGTAATATTCTACCATAATATTTTGGCTGCACCCTTTGCATTATTAACTAATATATTTATAATTCAAAAACACCATCATAACCAGACAACAACTGTGAGAGTCAAAACATGAATTGTATTAGTG